TCAGGTTTATAATTGTATTTTGTGGCTCTACTAAAATAGATTTAGATGCTTTAATGTTCATAAAACACATTCTTTTTCTCATACTGCCTATAGCTGAAGCATCTCTTTTCAGCCTCTGTCTGAAGCGCTCTGTTTGAACTCCTGTCTCTTTAAAGCCCCCCTCCCAAAAAGCAGAGTCTGCTCTGATTGGTCTGCCTTATGTCGGGCTGACGCTCCAGCCCTCCCACTTCCGCCTCAGCGTTGGCGGTGTTTTGGCAGTTAGCTCCTCACTGCTACTGAGTTTAACTGTATTTCTACCGTCAATATTAATTCAATAACTGCTTCTAAACCAAAAACTTCACCAGCGGACATCTTAGAGCGGGAGTCTGACCCTAAATCACGGAGAAACAACAATCAGGATTACAGCTTTCTATGACGTTTCCTCAGGTAAATACAGCTAATGCTATTAATCTCTCTTCATCACATAATATTAGGTTAGTGTTTATATTTTTATTTCCCTACTCTTACTGTTTTTTAGACTGTTTTTTCTCTATCCACTTTGGTGCTGCAACATTGGAATTTCCCCACTGTGGGACAAATAAAGGAATAAAGGATACCTTAACTATCAAAACCAACACTGTGTTATATGCTTGTCTTTACAGGTACAGCCTACAGACCTACAGTCTACAGACCAAGTGAAGTAAAACATATTTGTTGTAAGGCGCTAAAGGAGTAACGTGTTAGCATGTGCATGTAGCATAGTATGTAACAGTTATTACCTGAATGTGGGGATGTTACCATACAAAACAGACAACGTGAAACATTAGTCAAGCAATTGTTTCTAGTGAAGAAACACCCAGATAACGTACCAAAGTAATCAGAGTAATAGTATAATGATTACTGTAACCTCTCATCTGTTATATTCTTTATACACATTAGTTTACTGAGACCATGGAAACTTACCATAATGAGGCAGAAACCTGCCTGGAATACTTTATCCTGTACATGTCAACATAACTTAAAGAATTACTCATCTAATAAAGTAACTTGCAAAAATAAAAACTACTGCTCAGTAACAAACTGTAAACTGTATCTGTATCCATATTTCATAGTCTGATATTTTAACTTGAAACGTTTTTGTCAGACAATTATTACCAAAGTTAACCTTCAAATATTTGTAAAAGCTGCAATTATATTTTCACCCCTTTTAAAATACTGTATATATACTGAATATCATTTATGATATATTATGTCATTTATCTGTCAACATAATAAAGTTTCAATGTGAGACAGAATTTCAATTCAATTCAATTCAATTCAATTCAATTTTATTTGTATAGCGCCAATTCATAACAGAAGTTATCTCAGGACACTTTTCAAATGGAGCAGGTCTAGACCGAACTCCTTGAAATGTATTGTGTTACTTACGCTCATTTACTACAGGTTTAAAATTTCACATGTACATATTGATAGATGTTACATGGACCAGGTTCAACCCTTCTACATGCAGGAAATCTTCATAAAACCTCTCTGAAATAACATGTTATTTGTATAAAACCACACTTAAAAATGACCAAAACTCTCCTTAAAAATATAACACTTTATTAATGTTTCATTTATATTCCAGTTACACATAAAGTGTGTGTATGCTGCAAGTAACAAAGCTATAACTTTTATGTAAACAGTGCAGATCATGTCCCGAAGGTTTATGGTTTGTAGTATACTTAAGTGTGAGCTGGTAATGGAGCTCTGTGGTCAGTGTTTATCTTGATGAGTCTTCCTTTGGATAAGATAAGATGAGATAAAATATTCCTTTATTTATCCCCCTTAGGAGAAATTCAGGTTGACACAGCAGCAATAGGGCATAATAGTGCAAAAACAGAGAAAGAATATCACAATAAAAATATTACTAATATTATTAGTATTACAAGATATAAACTATAAATTAAAGTATATACACTACGCATTGTTCAAGTAGGATATGGAGTGCAAAATATAAGCAGAAAATTAAACTTGACTAAAACTAAAAAACTAAACTAAAACTACTAAACTACTAAAGTGGAAATTAAATATAAATAGTGCAAGAGGCTTGTGCGTTGTAGGTAGGAGTTTTAAACCAGTCTTTGTCTGCGGGGGTTGGAGGTACTGGGTGCTGTGGCGTTGGGGCCGATGGTACAAACAAACCTCCGAAACCGCTTTGAGGCTCGGGGCTGGATCAGTCTGTGGCTGAAAGTGCTCCTGAGCTGCCTGAGCTCAGTGTAGAGAGGATGAGAAGGGTTGTCCATGATGGCTTTCAGCTTCTCTCTCATCCTCTTTTCAGTCACAGCCTCCACACTGTCCAGCTCCATCCCCACCACCGAGCTGGCCTTCCTCACCAGCTTGCTCAGCTTGTTGGCACACCCAGTGCTGATGGCTCCCCCCGAACAGACCACTGCAAAGAAGAGGACACTGGCTACTACAGACTGGTAGAACATCTGTAGTAGCCAAGTGCACACGTTGAATGACCTGAGCCTCCTCAGAAAGAACAGCCTGCTCTGTCCTTTCCTGTAGAGGGCCTCAGTGTGATCCATCCAGTCCAGTTTATTGTTGAGTGTCACCCCCAGGAACTTGTAGGTGTCCACCATCTCTACCTTCTCCCCCCTAATCTCAACAGGGCCCTCGCCCGGTCCTCTTGCTCTGCCGGAAGTCCACCACCAGCTCTTTGGTTTTTCCTGTGTTGAGCTGTAGGTTGATCCTGTCGCACCATCCAATGAAGCTCTCAATCAGGTCTCTGTACTCCTCCTCCCTATCATCTGTGATACAGCCAATAATGGAGGAGTCATCAGAGAACTTATGTGTGTGGCACTCTCCAGAGTTGAAGCAGAAGTCGGAGGTGTAGAGGGTGAACAGGAATGGTCACAGTACAGTTCCTTGGGGTGTACCAGTGCTGCTCGTCACCACATCTGACAAGCAGCTGTGCAGTCTGACGTATTGTGGTCTGTCAGTGAGGTAGTCAATGATCCAGGCCACGAAGTCCTGATCCACCTGCATCACAGAGAGCTTTTCTGCCAGCCGGAGAGGCTGGATGGCACTGGAAAAGATGATACTCACGGTTGTCTGTGACTTCTCCAGGTGGGTGTAAGCTCTGTGAAGCAGGTAGATGATGGCATCATCCACGCCGATGTCGGCCTGGTACGCAAACTGCAGAGGGTCCAGGCAGTTGCGTACCAGGGGTCTGAGGTGCTGCAGAACCAGTCTCTTAAAGGTCTTCATAACATGTGACGTTAAGGCTACAGGCCTGAAGTCTTTGAGATCGCTGGGTCTTCCTTTTTTGGGCACAGGAACTAAGCAGGAAGTATTCCAGATCTCTGGCACCTTCTTCAACCTTAGTGAGCAGTCAAACAGATGCTGGAACACTCCTGCCAGTTGATCTGCGCACACCTTAAGGACTCTCGGGTTGACGTCGTCGGGACCTCTGGCCTTGTTTATCTGGGTCCTGGTGAGCTGCCATCTCACCTGGCTTCTTGTGATGACCGGGTTGGTTGTGGCAGTGATTGGGGGGTTACGGTCCCCAGCTGATGGGAGAGTGGGTGTAGTGGAGAGAGGTAGGTGGGGGGAGGAGGTGGAGGTTTGTGGGGCGGAAAAATGGAGAGGATAGGGGGAGTGGGAAAGGGAAAGGGGAGGGAGTGGAGGGGGGTTTAGGGCAGAGCAGGCCTGTATGTAGGATTGAGATATATCAGGCAGTGGTCAGATTTACTTTTCATTGGCATACAGCAGATCCAAGATCTTTTCCCCTCTAGTGTTACAGGTGACATACTGGGTAAAGTTTGTCAGGGTCTTTGAGATTTTGGCATGGTTAAAATCTCTGTTTATTATGTTGAATGTGCTGGGATGACGTGTCTGCAGGTCTGCAACAGTGGAGTGGACGTCACAGGCGTGCGCCGCTACTGCCGATGGAGGAATGTAAACAGTGACGATAATAGTGGCCGCAAACTCACCAGGCAGATAGTATGGCCTTAACCCTATGGCCAGCGGTTCAATATCAGGCGTGCAAATTTCTGCCTTCACAAAGACAGCGAGCCCTCCTCCCGACTTTTTACCGCTCTGTTTCTTCCTGTCAGCCTGAACTAGTGAAAAGCCGGCTAGTTCCACTGAACAGTCTGGTGTAATGTCGTTCAGGCATGTCTCCATCAGACATAATATGCTGCACTCCCGATACTCTCGCTGTCCGTTGACCAGGGACATCTTGTTGTTCAGCGAGTGTACGTTCCCCATGACAACCGAGGGAAGACATGGCTTGTATCTCCACCGCCTCTCTGTCTTCTTGGTCCTCACCAACGTGCCTGCTCTAGTTCCTCTCCTTCGTCTCCTTAACTCCACCGGGTTCTCCCTTGAGCATGTGACAGGTAAATCCCGATACCGTAGGAAGTCCTCACGTGAATAACCTCCGGCGTTTTGTTGTGTGGTGGTTGTTGTGTCCACATTCCTACACATTGTTTATATTTAAAAAAACTATGTTCAACTACGGCTAAAAAAGTAAAAAATTAACTACCAACACTGGAGGTCTATTTACAACAATAAACACAGTGCTATTTAAGAAGGAATGAAGAAGTAGTAAGATTTAAGGCGAAAAAATAAGAGGCGGAGCGGGAGCTGTTGCGTCAAGCTGCCACTCTCTGCAGCGCTCTAGAACTTAAAGACTGTCCGAGACTGTCCTGATGCTGCAACTGTCTCTGTCCTCTGATGGGTCCAGGAACACCGGAGCGTCATCAGGTCACTCAGATCACCTGTAAAACATGGCAGATTCAGTGTTACTTGTAAGTACAACTAATTACTTAAAGGAGCATTTCACCCGTGGAAACATTAATATTTATTGAAAGTGGGTTATATATGTAGTCGAAATGTAACATACATTTTGAATTTGGTGCCTATTTGACCGAGAAAAAGACAGAAAGTGACTTTAGGGCGCATTTGTATTAAACTCCCACAATGCACAGCTCCGCAAGCCGCTCCCACTAACACTATCAAGGACTACAACAACATGAATGTAAACCATTTATTTACAGAAATATATCAACAACAACAAAAATAAATATGTTAACAATGACAGTTGTAGTTCCTCCTGAGCGTCCTCAACGTCTCGGTGCCGCAGTACTGGCCATCTGGAGCTGGATATTTCTGTCGGATAGCCTGCACCACATCAGCGGGTAAAACGACACGATGGCCTTGACCCAATCTCTCGCCTTGCAGGACCCATTCCAGAAAGACTGTTAGGCGATATTGTCTACAAGACATTGAGCACACAGTTAGCGATGCATGGTCTTTGTGTGTAGCGTGCCACAGTAGTTAGCAATGCAACTGCAAGCTGTTTGTGCAGTAAAGAAGCTAGTTCAGTTGGCTGACGTTACGTATTAACCGGGAATAACTTTGTGATAATACTTGAACAAATTGTGTACATTCATGCCACGTTGTTATAAGACAGAAAATAGAAACACTCACTTTACAGTCAGACGTCCGTGTGTCCGTAGGCGCACAGCGAGAGCACAGGCACCAGCAGTCCGCCCCAGCTCGAGCCAGTCCGGGCTCCTCGTCCGCGACAGGCAGGTCCTCTGCCTCGGCTGCAGAAGCCTCAGCCGCTGCTCGTTATTGCGGCTCATAAAGGTAGCCACGAACATCTGATGCGACCATCGTTTAGCTTCCGCTTAGCTTCCAAACAAGATGGCGGTTATATTTTTTAGTTTCTGCAGGTGAAGTCCCACCCACTGATCTGTAATAGGTCTGTAGTGTGAGTGAAAAAAAATTAGGAAGTAGCGTTTGTAGTCTCACCCCCTCTACAGAGATATGAGTCTTCCCGCTTCCAATGACGCAAAATGATGATTTTTACATCATTGGAAGTGCAACACTAAAATCCTTATTTCTCCCCTCTCAGGGAAAGTGAGGGAATGATGCACGATCATTCAAAAATATGACTGGGGTTCTAATGATACAAAGCTTAATGCAAATGGGTGAAGTGTCCCTTTAAGGGTGCAACAGCTCATTGTGGCTCAAAGTAGTCCTCAGTTATAAACTAAAATAATAAAGCAGTGTCTCTGGTGGGTCCCTTGTTGCAGCTAACTGTAGTTATGTGTTGTTCTTTATGAAGGTCTGAGGTTACCAACTGTATCTAAAATGCCTAGCTAATGGCAACAGCTTCACACAGTGCTTCAGTGATAACAGGTCATTTATTTAATCAATTATTGATGAAGTAACGGATTACATGGGACCTTTACTGTGACTTTAACTTATGTTCTGACAAACCAGAAGCTCATAAATACAGTACAAGTTCCCGGTGCAAAAACAGGCATTTAGCAGTGAGCCTCATTGTTGTTTATAATACAATAGTAGACGATATGAGTAGGAGATGTTACACTGGACTGTAGCTGAGATAACGTTAGCACGTCAGTAGAAAGTTACACAAGAAGCGCCATGAAAAATAATCACCAACCTACTAACTTACTCACTGTATTTTGTTGGCTTTTGGGTAAGGCTTTACGGTCACACAGTTTTATGCTTATTTATTTTTTTTGTATAGCGCCAAATCTAACAGCAGTTATCTCAGAACTTCAGGCAGGTCTGGACTGTAATAATACTTAGTTCAATTCAGTTTTATTTGTATAGGCGACCAAATCATAACAGAAGGACAGAGACAAGGGTGTACAGCAACAACAGTAGCAACAACTACACTAATAGTTGGTGATGATGAACATGAAGAAGTTATTATTAGTTAGTGATATTAGTGGAGCAGTAATGCTAATGGTGTGGATCAGAAACGTTTGACTTCACAAACAGCCCAGCGAGTCAGTACAGCTGCTTTGTGCTAATCAAAGTTACACAATCTTACCAAACAAATGAATTCCTACAGATTGACTATTTCTCTCTCACAGTAGCTCTATCTTTACCTCCGGTGAATTTACATACAGCAGCAACAAACACCTGAACGGAGCAGGAAAACGGCTTCGGAATAACAACAAAGCTAGTGCTCGCTGAGCTAATGTTAGCACGACGCTAGAACATTACACAAGAAAAGTATCACCTTAACTTACTCCCAGTATTTTGTTAGCTTCTAACGATCACACTGTCCCTCATATTACAACATAAAGTCCTACAGCGGACTTAGTAACTATAGTAACCTGCAGCAGTGAGATAACAGACGAGGCCTAGCGAGCTGCAGCTGCTCGGTACTAATCAACGTTATACAGTCTTACTAAACAAATTCATTCCTACAGTTTGACCATTTCTCTCTCACAGTAGCTCTATCGTTATCTCCGCTGCTCGTCGATCAAGTGAACAGTGCAGTATACAGCACACACACACACACACCTGAGTGGAGCAGGAAAACGGCTTTAAAATAACTACAAAGCTAGTGCTAGCTGATTAGCACGTTGGTAGAAAGTTACACAAGAAGCATCATGAAAAAAATTCACTTACTCCTGGTATTTTGGTAGCTTTTAACGGCTTAACGGTCACACAGCGTGCAACTGTCCCACTTACTAACAGTTTGTGATTCTCCCTCGATATTACAACATAAAGTCCAACATCGGACTCCTCAGTAATACCTATTACTTTAACTGCATTAACGCTAACGGTTTATATTAGTCAGTTAGTTTTACTTCACGAACAGCAGTGAGCCACTACAGCTTCTCCGTGCTACTTACACAGCCTTACTAAACAAATGTATGTATGTATGTACGTATGTATGTATCTTCCTCTGATGATGGGAGGACATGCAGACTTCTGTGCTGGTCCCTGCAGCGAACATCTGGGCAGCTGTGGCACTGAGCTCCAGGCTTTCAGGAACAGCCAGGACTTGCAGGGTAAAGATGGTGGACAGCAGCAAAGGCAGCTCTTCTGCGAGGGAAGTGGTTAGTCAGAGGGGAGGTGGTGCTATGCAAATGAATCAGCTTCTTACGCAAGAAGGGGAGCAAAATCTGAACAGAGTGTTTGACCTGAGGTCTTCTGACATGGCCAGCCCACTAAAAAAGGACTGAGTTGTTTTTTTTCACAGTTTCTGGGTTGGTCGGCCACCCAAATATGTGTGTACAAACATTAAAAAGTTCCTTTTGCATAATATGTCCCCTTTAATTATTTGTATATATATATATATATATATATATATATACACATATATAAATTTGAACAAAGGCCTGTTAACTGCTAACAACCAGCAAGGAGACTGAACATTTAGTTATTTCAACACAGTATAACATCATGCAAGTCTTGTTGTACAAAACACAGAATAAATAACTTCCAACTTCACTAAGTTTGGGCGGCTGTGGCTCAGAGGCAGAGCGGGTCGCCCCCTAATCGGAAGGTTGTTGGTTCGATACCTGGCTCCTCCTGCCACGTGTCAAGTGTCCTTGAGCAAGATACTGAACCCCAAATTGCTCCTGATGCTGTGCATTGGTGTGTGAATGTGTATGAATGTATTAGTCTCTGTTCGATGGGCTTTGTCATCACTGTGTGAAAGGGTGAATGTGGCACATAGTGTAAAAGCACTTTGAGTGGTCGGAGGACTAGAAAGGCGCTATACAAGTACAGGTCCATTTACCATTTAATAAAACAAATACTGGTGGGTCTTATCGATATGATGGATAACGTTAACAGTTACTTACAAATTCGCTCCTCTTAGTCCATTTTATGCCTCTGCTGTCCCTGCCTGAAGCCATCATGTCTTTATCCCCAGAATCCGGGTCACCTACTCCTATGCTAGTCCATTGAGCTCCCAGTCCGGGTACAGACAGCTAATTGGACCGCTAACTTGCCAGTGGCAGCAGCTAGTACCTTATAAGAGAAAAGGGCAGTGTTGCAACAATCCCCTGATATTTTGGTCCCTGTGACAAGGCACAGCTCACAGTTGATTTTGGTTTTCTGCGACTATCTGACTGATGACAAGTGTCGACTAAGACACCAGACCACTCATAGGATTCGTGCAAGTAGCCTGCTGTTATCTGAACATAAGGTCTTAACTAATGTATTGTATATTGCATTATGTCAAAGCAATTTTGAGTTTCCTATGTAAATTACACTTAATAATAAAATTGACATTATCTTGTTTGACTATACAGTTCAAATTATAATATAATTCAACATTTAGCATGTAGCCTAATTATATCATCATTAATTAACATTGATAAATTGGCCATTGATGCTATTGAGTAACTACAATTTCAATAATAAGTTCACCAATTGAATGTTATGTTGTCTCTGTATATTGTGTCATTACTTTCAGGCCTATCAACTGTATCTTCACATTCAGGTGTATGCAGGTTGCTGTCCAGAGGATCATCTTGATAATGCAACATCACCCATTGTGGCACGTGTTCTTCCATCTATCTTTTTGTTTATCATGATGGAGACTTCCCCTTGACCCCCTCCCATTGGTGTGGCAAGACTTTTTTTTAAGCCATCTTCGTATCAAACCACTTCTTCTGGATTTCAGCAACAGCACAACCCTCGGGGGACAGCACTTTCTTCCCACTCCTTTGCTTTAGCAGGTCATTTAATAAAAAAATTATCCCAGAGAGCAGGACTTCAATCGCTGAGCTTTTAAAGTTCTTCTTTTTACATGGGGGGCAGGCCGTGTAGCCTTATGGTATGGTATGGGCATTAATTAAGCAATTCTTATGAACGCGCTAAATTACACACAGTTGGCGTTCATCATTTTTACACAGGTGATTTACACAGAAATCTGAAGTAAGGAGAGTTTGATATGGCACACTCGTATGAGCCCACCATACGAAAGAAAAGAAAAGTAAAATGTTTTTGAATGAGGACCATTAACCATTGATTTGCAAGACCTGTAGATCTAATCTAACACTTTTGTTACACTTAAATAATAATGTAAAAAAAAACAGTGGTCCTGACTCCAACCCTGACCTCCTCTCAGATCTGATTAACAATTACACACCTAATTTCAGCAGAACCCATTTACTGTTCATTATCTCTGAAAGACAGTTTGAATCCAGCTAAACAGAGGAGAACAGCTCAGCAGGGCATATTCCACCATTTCATCAGCAGATGGCAATACATGCACACTGCAGAATGCATGGAGTCAGGACTCCCCTTCACTGTCTGATGGTTTATTAAAGAGCAAGTTATTTTCACATGCTGAGCACCTGTACCTGCTGCTGTTGGATTCCAAATCCTTTTTAACAGGCCCCTTTAAACATTCTAAATATTTTTTAGTATTTCTTTTTTTGTAAATTGTAAAGGCATATCTGGGTTGAAATGATAAGCTCTTACACACATATATTATCAATCTAATATTTAAAAGTAAGATGATTTTACAATTACATCCTTCCAATGTCAGGCATTTTTGGAAGTTTGATGGCTGACTTAGATGGCATAGGACATAATAAAATAGAGTGTGTTTATTTTAATGAGCCCCATTAGCTCAGGGATAATAAACAGAATTGAATGTCATTTAAAGTAAACATTTATCCAGGATGGTCTGAAAATACACCAAAATAAAGGACATATATACACCAAAATATGACATGAATGAATGCATGATATATCTATCATATCCAGAAGCCAGTCTTTAGTTAAGAGCTAGTAACCATACTCTTGTATTGAAATAGTTCCTTATACAGTGACTTAAAT